TTCTCTCATCTCTACACAACTTCTACAAATCATCACACACCATTCTCCTTACAGCCATAGCTAAGCAAGTCAAATAAACAAGATTGAAATCAAGCGACAAGCAAAATACAACTCACCAACCGTGCGCGTTAAAGTTGTGGCAGTCGTAGTAACCCACTACCTTATTTACGCCCGTTCTCACTAATGAGGTGCAAATGGGTAAGCGTCGTAAGTCAAAAATCAACTACACAAAATCTATGCAAAAACATTTTATTTAGACAGTTTGGTATATGGTCTATTACATATCACTTTTTCAGCCACACCATTTTACAAATAACCATACAGCTGTTATCTAAATGTGGCACCTTGAATTATAAAATATTATCACCTGATACGTACGTGACTAGTTTTTCTGACTAGAGAATTAAGTGACAATGTGATAAATTATTTGAGTAACCTATCAAATATTCCGCATGAGTTTGGCGATTTAGTAACACACATGTCTGCTCAAAAACTTTAGAAGTACTTTGACATACACATTGTAAATCATTATTACTCAGATTGTTTTTTTCAAAAATACCAACAAATTGCAAAAACATTCTAAAATCAAACCTGATAACTAGATTAGCCGACAATCTGAGGGCGTAGTAGACCAAAAATGAGTAGCAAAATATTTGATCGATAGCCAGTTGCAACAACATAAAACTCATGAAAATTACCAGTCACTTTTTGCAGTACAAACAGTAACGTATGTAGCCCAACTTTCAATTGTTTCAAATAAGATTTTTATTATGAAGAATAATACTTTTTCTTACCTAAAACATCGATTAAAACACATCAGCATCGTTTTCTTCAGGATTACAAGATTCTATCGTTTCTTCCTTTACAGTTTTTAGTACTACATAAAGACAATATCAGGGTGATCAATATTAATCATCATAAATTTGGCAAAAGGAACATAACAAGACTGTATCCTCGATCGTTCTTTCTCAAGGAAGGCGGGTCCTTTTGCTTTCCGAATTTACCGATATTCTGTCTGAATTTCTGCTCTACGTTTTCCCACTTGAAATAAGAAACAAATGAGTAACGTATGTATAATACATTTCGATACATACGTTACCCTATAATTATGCTCTTTCACATAACAAAGACCCAGGACTAATCCAAATGTTATTACAAATATATAAACTCTGTCTGATAAGCTACTAAAGTACCTTTCATTTGTACATCAATCCTTCCATCCCATTAAACAATCAAATATTCATATCAATTTTCATATCATTCAGAGGGTGACCATCTCTTTCCCAACACATAGCTCATTATGTGAAAATAAAAGGACATTAAATAACACTGATTGCCAGTTTAAGTCTGAATGTTTTTAAAAAAAAACAAAGTTTCTGGCTTCAAATGATATGACATTTACGTTTGAAACCTTCAACAAATGTTGTTACCTACGTTACCGTTGATAACGTATGTATCAGTTACTTTAGCATGCCTTGATCGAAAACTGGACCACCAAATGATGCCCTTAGCATCGCTTTCCTGTTTGTTATGATGGTAGTTAAAACACACAATGACAATTTGAAAGAATTACACTTTGTAACATGTTTAACATGACGTCTTTAATTATGCATGGTATCACCTGAATTTTAAACAACATTACCTCATAAAACTGATGTGGTTTCTCTCTCAAAATGTGTCTGCTGTTCGATGACTGTCGCCACATGAAGTAGGTATAGCCAAAACCTAATCATATTGTTTCGAACACTTAATTCCGTACTTTCTAGTAACGTATGTAACGGTTACGTATGTATATTTTCAATGGTTTTCATTTTCATTTTTGCAAATCTATACACACTACTGATCGTGATATGAGCTGTTTTACAATGCTAGAAATGTGTGTTGTTGGTATAATGTTTTGCGTGAAGTGTTATAGAAATTGAAGTAATTATTGGCATGATAACGTATGTATTGCTTGATTTCTACGCATCTTGTTTGTGGTGTTGAAAAGTATTTTTTCCAATACTGAACTATACTTATAGTTAAAACCTGTCGTAATTGAATTGGTAAATGTTTTGAGTATAAATAATTGATACTGTACTTCACTTAAGCCAGAAAGGTACGCTGCTACACTGTCATCCAGAAAAACACAACGTATGTATCCAAAGTTTGGCGACAACATTTCAACACTCTATAACTATTCCGATTTGGATGGTTTGCCTTCTTATTCTCATTTGAATGCAGCGTAATAAGTACATTGTTCTTTAAATATTCAATCTGAAACCCAAACTGCAAAATCAAAATGACAGTATTAACTTAAGTGAATCGTCTCCGACATGGCGACAGTAACGTACGTATCGTTTTGCCAACTTTGACTTTTCCTGCATTGCCAATATAAGGACAGATGACCCGAAACAGTGTTTATTGGCTAGGGCGAGTATAAGACTTTGTGAATAATGCAAATACTGGGCACAATATTTGTTGGATTATGAACAAATGGCTGGCGACATCAATTGCACCTCATTAGTGAGAATGGGTGGGTGTTTAAGAGCAAAATCAGCTGCACAACTCGTGTCCTTTATTTTAACTACTGATTGCAAAAAATGCCAATGGCAGCGCTCCATAGTCGATGTCCGCCATAATAGCTAAATAGGGGTAATTCCAAAGTAATTCCTGTTTTTATGAAATACTTACTCCTACAGGGAAATTTGGCATTTCTCTGAAAGTCAGGGAAAAGTCAGGGAATTTTTATATGTTTTCAAAAGTCAGGGAATAGTCAGGGAATTTGGGGTTTAAGTCAGGGAAATTTAGGGTTTTGGTCAGGGAAAAATAAGACTCAGAATGTTGCTAATCAGGTATGGTAGTAGTCAAAGTCAAAGATGCAGCACTTGTTACAGACATTTCATGAAATAAATTACAGTTCAGATAAGAGATTGCTTTTAAGCATAACAGCATGTTTTACATAAAGCCCTAGATTACATATTACATTTTCATTTCTGGAGGATAGAATGGAAACAAAGTCACTTGAAGGATATTTTAACAGATAATTATTTGGCATGTATTGTTTTCTTAAATCAGCATAATGTGAATTTTATCTTCTACAGCTGGGTGACATAACAGACATATTCTTCTATGAAGCACAATCGGTTGGATTTGTGAATCAAACAATATGAAACATATTTTCCGGGTTAAAATTCCAAAATTCTGGGAAACTGACATAAATTTGATAAGAGCCTTCTTAGCATGAATGCGGGGGATATAGTCGACGCCTTGCCCGTCTGTCTGTCCGTCCATCCGTAATCATTTTGTTTCCGGAGCATAACTCGAAAACAGTTCAATGTTTTTAACAAAACTTTGCAGCTATATCAAACAGAACCTAAAGTGGTGCCTTTTGCTATTTACAGATTTTTGTCATATCTATTTTTCTTGGTTTCCATGGAAACACTGGCATATTGAATTTGTCTAAAAAATGAAGTTGAACTTTAAGTAACTGTCAGATGTTTTGCTCTTTCATATTTGTAGGGGCTGGGGGATTTGTCATCTTCTGATGACTCTTGTTTAGTATGGAAAAACACTAATCCGAGATAGTGATTAACAATAGATAATTGCCATTCAAAAACATTTTTCTTTATAGGCAACAGATCAACCTCTTCTAAACATAACTATGTTAACAGATAATTTTCCATTCATTTGTATACTGTTCCAAAATATTATAAATAGTATGATGGCTATGGTGGTTTCTTGCAAATTGTGAAAGCCCATATTGGCCAAAAATACCCATATGTTTCATTGTTAAAGTACAGCATAGGTTTATAATATGCCCTATGTTCTGACATTTGCTGTTTATTCACAAAATTGAAAGTGGTTTAATGATGTTCAGATTCTAGTTGTCATGGTTGTACTGAATGTAAAGTTATATCTTGCATGTTTATTCTTTCCAAATACGCCTTTGATAATTACAACATTTGGTGATAATGAAGAAATGTGTTCCTGACTTTGAATGAAACAATTCAATTAAATCATTAGTTTCACATTTATGCTCTTTGTCAAAAGCCTTTAATATAAAATACAAAGTTTTCAGATGATATATTACTGACTTCAGCTTAGAATATATATTTGATGGTCACGCTCAAATGTATCTAATAGTATTATGTGACATTGTAGCAGGAGAGTCCAGGAACATTTTCTTCATCACAAATATCAATGTTTTGGTTAATGTAATAAATTAACAAATATTGTGTGTATTTATGATATGTGTGAAGGAAATATCTTAACAGGGTGGTTAGGACTGACTGAAAGGGAGGCAGAAGGCCAGTTTTTACACTTAAATGGTCAGGGAAAAATCTATACTTGTCAGGTAAAAGTCAGGTAAAAGTCAGGGAATTTTGGCCTGCCATGCCTGTGGGAACCCTGTCCTAATATCATGAGTTCTTTTCAATTTGCCCATACTAGCCAAACTTACAAAATACACGAAATTTGTGACCCCGAAACCGGGAAACAAACGTAAAGATTTTCCCAGCCATATGGTTCTAGAGCTACGCTCGGGGCAACACACCACTCGTCCGTGGCGGGTGATGTCACGCTCTAGATGACGTCACGATCTCTATAAATACGAGCGCTAACCATGCAACTTCCTCAATGTCTAAACCATAACCTGTAACCCTACCACTCCTAGAGGCCCGCCCTTGCTAGAACGTTGCTCAACACTCGGAAAATAAGTTTCCCAATGTGGGGAAGGAGGGTGGGAATTATGATATTACTCGTAAGTATTTCATAAAAACAGGAATTACTATGGAATCCACCCTTTTTATTACAATACTTACTCCTAATATCATGAGACTTTGTCATAGCGGACGGCGGGAACCGAGCCTCGTCCTGACAAGTCGCCGATAAAGGAGAGGTATTGTAAAGCGAAGGAAAATCCCTGCAGTGGTCAGCCCCGACCTGGTAGGAGTTGCCTCCCCCAGAACATAGGGAACTTCAGTGCACAATAAATAGAGAAAGAAAATTTACTCACCTTTGGCTTGTAAATCTTCAAGATGGTCGGTCTGGCCGTTACCATGACTTCCACCCCGTGAAGGGTATACAGAAGTTTTCTTCTCCAATCCCCGTTAAGGGAAAATGACATTTATAGCACTAAGGAGCACAATGTTATTGGTACCCATAACAGCAGCCCATATAACATTACTATAAACACACTAACTCTGCAACTACAGCGCAATATACTCACTATTGCGGGAGGACAAATATTCCAAACTCACAGAAATATCGACATCGTCATGAACAGAGCGATAGATTCTGTGCTGCTGCGAGGGGAAGACGTGTACACCCGTTTCGCTGTGTAGCAACGTTTCTGATATAAAATCTCGCAAAAGTGGAAGGTTGTCTCCAGTAAGCCGCCCTCATAATAGCATCTAAAGAGACTGAGGTGGCGAATGCTAGTGAGGCCGAGATAGCCCTTAATTAGTGTGATTTCACAATACAGTCTATTTGAGTCAGAAACGGACCGATGAATTGCAAATTTTATCATTGTACAAAATTGCCACATAAATATAAATAGTACACATGTTTATCATTTACTAATACCCAACAGCTTTCTTATATTTGAACATTTTCCGGACTCCACCAAAAAAGTTGTTTAAGAAACTATCATCATTAAAAAAGCAAAAGTTGTTATCTGTCGCGGCGGGGTGAAACCGCAGAAACGGAACAGCCACTATCTCGTCGTGCACGGGATACACATGCCTGATGAAAAATGAAGTTGAATGATGACGTGAAACAGTTGATGTATAAAGCGTACGATTTTTTCCGTGCTGAAGCCGAAAGGAGCAAACCATTTTATGCCATTTCTGACTCAAACGGACTGTACTAGAGGTCAGCTGGTCGGATTTACCTGCCTGATCATAGGCTACCCTGACAGTGCTCGTAATCCACTTAGAGAAGGAGGCTGCCGCAATTTCTCTACCTTCCGTTGTGAAGGAAATAAACAACCTTCTCTGTGTAGTCCGTAGGGGTTTAACCCTGTGGAATACCACTTAAGGGCGCGTACAGGACAAAGTAAGCGATTCGAATCCTCTTTCTGCAAGGTATTGGAGAGAGAAGGGATTGTAATCGGAGCTAAACACTCATGTGGTTTCTGAGTCTTAGCCCTGAACTCTGGAAGAGTTTGTAAGCTTACTAAGTCATCCTGCCAACGTAATCTTTGGAAATCAACAGCGTGTAACTCAATTAGGCGACACGCTGTAGCCAAAGCCGTGAGGAAGGCTGTTTTGTAAGAAACAAGCCGTAACTCTGCCGTCTCCATTGGCTCGAACACAAGGGCGTGTCACGCTTAGAAACAGCGTTAGAAAGACATATAGGTATATAGACCCTACTCTAGTACTATATAAAAGGAAAGGGATGTAACGACGGAACCACCCCCCTCCTCAATCAAAGATTTCACCACGTAAACTACTTTTAAGGCCCCGTCGAGGCCTATGGAGCAAAAGCGAGATGGTTTCCCTACAAAATGAGCTATAAATGGTCACAATCGGATCATTATTTCAAAAGTTATACGCCACGACTCACCGAAAACAGCTACCTCCGCAATTCCAAGCCAAAATCATGGATCACCCAAGACAGCGAAAACTCACCTTTTAAATTCGTTTAATAATTCCAGCCACGTTGACAGCACCTATGTAGGGCTAGATTCGATCGGCAGCATAGGTGCTGTCAACGTGGCTGGAATTATTAAACGAATTACGGGTCTAAAAAACGTATTGCAATATCTACAAATCATTTCCTCGACAGTAAGCAGGCACTTTCTCCAAACCATCGGCAATCATACTCACTCCACAGACAGAGGAGGGTGGCATGTTAGCGGCGGGTACGGTACGCCGTGAAACTGAATGCAGTATCCGACCCTTAGTACGGAATGTACCCAAGGGTCGAGCGTCTCCTCTTCCCATGCTGGTAGGAAGTGTGACAACCTGCCAGCTATAGGGAATTCTGCCCCTGATACGGAGGCCTGACTGGGTACCGGGTCCCGAGTGGACACCGGAATTGGAGGCTCCCTGTGGAGCTCCGACGACCTGCCTCTTTGGGAGAAGGAGTCAGGAACAACCTGTGGCCTTCCCTGCCGGCCCCAGACCCTCAGTTCCGCCGAACCTGACTCGCCTCCCTTGGGTGGCTCTGTTGGAGGACTGCTTCATCCCCCTTTTCCGATTCGGTCGGTGTCGTTTGGAACCAGTCGGACCGGAGGATGTGGCAGATTGGGGAGGAGGCACAGTTAACTTCCCCACGGAAAGAGACGGAGGCTGACGGGTGTACAGCGTGTCGTCCTTCCGCCTGTCCGCCAGCTCCTGCATTCGGTCAGGGAGACCCACGCCGAAGAGTTGCCGACTCTCAATGGGGGTACACCTAAACTGCGCCCTTGTCTGCTCGTCGTAAGAGCAAGCAGCCAAGGACACGTCTCGCCTCGTTAGCAGGAGACCTGTCATGAGGCGCCCTTGCAAGCGTGACAGATGTGACAACGCAGTCAGAGCCGATGTCATCCACGCTTGCAAGGGAGGTGTGTCCGCCCCCCGAGTCCTTAGACAGGGCCAGGAAGGTCCCACCGAGAAGCCAGAAGAGATGTGAAATCACCCCAAAAGAGTGGGGCACATCTCCTCCCAGCTCCTCAGGGTTTCCGAAACTATCAGCAATTTTGCTGGGTTCGCCACGGGAAAACGTGAGAGGAACTCAGGGGGCACAGGGGGAGCTGCCAGGGAGAACGGCTCTGACCCGTCAGGCGCAAAGCAAGAGTATGTGCCCGGACAGTAAATACGAGGGGATTTACGGGTGGGCACTTTACCTGTCTTCATGGATCTACCGTCCTCTGGCAGGTCTGTATTTCCCGATCCTCGGATCGGGTCATTCAGCTCCGTCCATACCTCATCCAAGTCCCTAGAGAAGGGTAAGGAGAGGTAGGACGTAGGCGCACACATGCCCCTACTCACCTGAGCGGGAGTCAGGAAAGGCGTGGCCTCCTGCCGTGGGGGGTCCAAGTTCCCGAAGGATTTGCCGTCCAGTCGCACTGACCGGAGGAAATCCTTCAGGGAGAGGATGGATTTGGTGAAGGAATAATCCCCCACCGCTCTTCCCTCCCCCACCTCCGAGGGGGTGGATGGACCCCTAGGGACAGTCAGGTTAGGCCCAGTGGGTCCTTCCCGAGTGCCCTGGACGGTACAGGAGGGTCCGACCCAAGGGTGAGACTTCTCGTACAGGATGCTCGAGTCCACGGACGAGGAGTCATAAGGGGTCTGAGTCGACGTCCATGGGACGCTGCCCGTCCCCTTGGGACAAACCTAGCGGGACTGTCGGGGCCTGCACGGTCGTCGCACCCGTGTCTCGCCTAACAACCCGAGCAAAGGTGGGGGGTGGGTCCCTTGGAGCTGAAAGGGCCTGGGGGCAGCTTCCAGTGGTCGCTACCCCACTAGGCACATTCTGCTGTCCCCCTTGAGAAGACAGAACCTGCTCCAGAAGCAAACTTTGTCTCTGGATGGCCTGCCACATCTCTACGGGAGCAGGAGTGTCCTGGCCGGGACCCGGGACAGCCAAACCCTGGCCGGCACCCACCGCAAGGCCGGCCAGGACCTGACCCGTAGCCAGGTCGGCCCACGAGGCTGAAGGCTCGGTGTCCCGTTGGGATAAACCGACCCCAATTCCGTCGGTCCCGTAGGGACGTTCGGGAACTATCTGGGCTGTCGACTCCAGACCCAGGGGGTCTGACGAAGCCGGCACCTGGGAACTCGGGCCGACCTCAACCCCAAGGGTGATGTCAGACACAGGTAGGTCGGGGACGAATCCGGAGGTCCCGGGCGTGACGTCACCCGCCACTGACGAGTGGTGTGTTGCCCCGAGCGCAGCTCAGCGTAGCGCTAGAACCATATGGTCGGGAAAATCTTTACGTTTGTTTCCCGGTTTCGGGGTAACAAATTTCGTGTATATTGTAAGTTTGGCTAGTATGGGCAAATTGAAAAGAACTCATGATATTAGGAGTAAGTATTGTAATAAAAACTGTTTACAACATAACATCCAGGAGGAACCTTTCCCCAACATTTTGCTTGATTTGTCTCTTCACGACCAGAAACTGTACACAAGGCCTGAAAATGTGAGGCCAGATTCCATACCACTGGTGAGGATGTTGGTCCGGCCAGCCATGGCAGTTAGATATGTTTACATTGTAACTCGACCCCCAAAGTGAGTTAGTTTTCTTGTAGATGTTAACAGACCCTGAACCTGGGGAAATCTAGACTTGCTTTATTTAGGGCTTTAGCACTGCAGAGAGGGCTTGGCAGTAGGGAAAATAATGTGGTTCAGGGACTGTGGGACCTGGGATACGACCAGAACTGGAATAACTAACATGAAGAATTATACATGTTTCTTTCAACTATGTATTTAATCGAGAAACAATTATTAAGAGCAAAATCAGCTGCACAACTCGTGTCCTTTATTTTAACTACTGATTGCAAATAGTCGATGTCCGCCATAATAGCTAAATATAGCAGCGCAAAAATGTAGGAAAGTGAAACTGAAATATGACTTTCTTGCAATATCTAATGATATTTTAAAATGTAGCTAATTATATGTATGCCCACAAATAGAACCAGAAAATATATGATGTGAATGGTATTGGATTTTGATTTTATAGTTTAATAATTATGCTAATATGTGTAAAAATATAGTAAGTTGTATCTAAATATGGGCAAGCATGGCCATTTTTGCACAGTGTTTTATGTAATAATACAGTAAACAGTTTCTTTTAAAGTAAGAACGGGGAAAAAAGAAAATTAAATTATGCCATAATTAATTTTTTAATGATGTTACATCCATTCTTGATGGGTATGTAATTATCACAATTCAAGTTAGTTTTGGGGATTTAAAACTTATAAGTTATTTGTGTTATGCTATTTGTGAGAGTTTATAAGAGATTTGTATGTTGCTTGGTCATACGTTTCAGAGAATATTTCTTCTGAAATACTAAAAAAATATACAGATTCATGTACACATTCATGACACTGTAAAAAGAGTGATGATCTATTATTTATAATGGTAGGGTGTATTCAGTAACACACCATCACACATAATACTGTGCTGATAATGCTGAGTGAAAGGTCCAGTTAAAGTTCTCATCCCCAAAAGTTCACATGGCCCCTTAAGCAGTAAGTGGCTTCCTTTTTTATAAAATGTTTAGCCTCCAAATAATGTTGTGTTAATATTACTGCTACTATCATATAAGATTTGCCAGTAATGATCATTTATAGCTTTCATCATTATTGTGTACATTGACAAACCTCTAAACATTGGCAATATTGACCTGTTGCATGTAGACTCTGCAAGTTTCACAAGTTTCACATATGACGAAATACTATCAACAGCCAAGAGGAATCTTTGGATTTTATAACTGTAATTATTTAGTCAACTTTACTCAAGCAGATATTGTCACCACATGGAATAAGAACCCCATAATAACTTTACCAGATAGATATAACATGAACCTAACAGTTTACACACTCACACCCATTCAGCTTGAGTCAAATAACTATCACCCTTCACGGGCATCACGGACAGCACACAGTTTAGACACAAATCACACATTGCACAATCACTGTTTCCCTCAAAATACTAAAGGTTACTTCATGCAAATCACTAATACATTAATAGTGTACTAACAATCTCATACAATACATCCAACTGTAGATTTTTAAGGCATATTCCCACTCTTGTTTAAGGACATGTGAGTATCATTATTACTATTTCATTATTAATGCTATACTATTATTTCATTCAGAATTTGCTGACAAGTTGGAATTGTTATTTACCACTATAAGCTCAGAGGAAATCTTGAAATTCAATAAACTGTAAGTTTTAAAGGCTTTATCCTACTTCGGGCCAAGAGCATGTCATTCATGATAACAGTTAAAAGTCTCTAAAAATAAGAATTATTGACCCAGTACATTCATATTTTGCTCACAGGTTTCAAATGCTAATTACTATCATCAGCCCAGAAGGCTTCTTGAAATTCCATAAACTGTAGGTTTTAAAGGCATTATCCCACTTCTAGTCAAAGGCACGTGATTAATAATAATAGTTAAAAATCTCTGAAAATTTGAACTATTGACCCAGTACATTTATAATTTGCTCACAGGTTTGAAATGTTATTCAATATCGATTTGCCGGGTCGCTTCACAAAGGTCAACTTCAGGGCAACTCAACAAAGCCTTCATTCATACTGACATACTGTTGTTTTGCCCTCGTGCTGGAATGTCCAGAACTTTATCAGGTTCATGTAGCCTTGAAAACTACATCATTTCTACCCCGCCCCTTGGAAAAAGCATGACTCCGGGGCAGTCAGTGAACCGTGAACCAGTGGTTCCGATCAACTAGTCAGTACCATTTCAGTAAAATGTATGATTGAATTTCAGTTTGTTTTAATGTTATATCTACATAATGAGATATTTAAACATTCGGTAAGATAAATTCGTTGTAGCATTATGATTTGGGGTATACGGGGGTTTATGCGTCCCTCGTTAGGTGTTATCCACTTCGTCTTCGGTACGGTGGATAAATCTAACTCGGGACGCATACAACCGAGTACACCCCTCACCACAATGCTACAACTTGCGCGTGAGTGTCACCTGACACCTGTGGGTCGTGGTTCGTGGTATACAACAATGCGGGGGGCACATATAGCCACATATGCCCCTCGAGACTAAAGCCACCATGACACTTGCACGAATTTTGTTCCCGCACTGGTACGCAATTTTCCGTGTCAATGAGTAAATTCGCTGTAAACTGTTGTGAAGTGTGCATTAACTGTGTGGAGGAAAAGTTTAAAAGTTCTGGTACGCATTATCTCCCTGCCACTTGTGTGATCTAGTCGTTAACATTGCGCAACCTATTCGCAAACATATCGAAGCATGTCAATTTCCGGCCCTGTCACGCTTTGGTCCGATTTGATCACTAACTGTTTGCGACATGGTCGCGATAGAGTGCGCAACGTTCACGCCTCTAACTTGTCGTGAAGTTGGCGGGCGGGGCTTGTGTATTGTCACGACTTGTCACGAGAGAGAAATGCCCCCCCCCCCCTCCTCAAGTGCTGATGTTTCTGCACCTCAAGGAGGGCCCCACAGCAGAAAAAGAGGATCAGATTTAAGCCACCCTGACACTTGCACGAATTTTATCCCCGCGGTGCCGCGCAATTCGTCGTTGCAATGCGTGTAATTTAGAAGGTACGCATGAAAGCGTAAAACCTAGTTTACGCACTGTTCGCGTCCTGTTTACGTATAACTTACGCACTTGGCACGCAATGCGTGACCGAAAATGGTGCGCATTGTCACGCATTGACACGCTATTGCACGACTTTTTTACGACTAGGTCAAGTATTGTTGGTGCATTGTTTACGTCTAGTGTACGGCATGGTATGCACGACGCGCATAGTTCCAGCATGGGCATGCATTGCCATAACCACTTCGTGCATGCGAGAAGCAGTCGTGGTATTATTTGGTCCCGCTTTGTCCCGCTTGACGCCACGCTATATAAATAGCTGGCATCACCCCCAGCTTCATGCATTGCTGTGGACCTACAGATGTTGAACACCAGAGAATAAGCTCTTATTGCAGAAAAGAAAAGTTGTCTATATCTCGCAGGTGCAGCACCATTACTTCTTGAAGACCAGCAAATGCAGAAAGAGCAGAAGAAGACGTAACCCCAAAGGGAAAGCAATGGCAGTGTGGGTGAGGGAATGGTTGACATCCCTTCGGACATAATGATCAGTTGTTGACAGAACTCCACAAGGAAGATCCAAGAGGCTACAGAAACTACCTGAGAGTATTCCCCGACTTGTTCCAGGACATGGTGGAGAAGTTAACTCTTCATCTTGAGACGAAGACCACATTCATGAGAGAACCGCTGAGATTCAAGCTTGCAACCACTCTTCACTTCCTAGCCACTGGTAATTCCTATGCAGGTCTACAGTACAGCTTCAGAGTTGAAGCTACTACAAGTTTCAAGTATAGTGGTGCTGAAGCCCTTATAATTGTAGTAGAGTGATCCAGCTTCGGGTGGCGTCTTCATAGCGCCGACCACAGCCCCCAGACAGTTGTGGTAGTTATATTTGGAACTAAAACCTTCAGCAACCTCCTTCCACTCCGTCAGTCTTGGGTCACCTGAGTACTTCGTCCTTGTAGACCTCAATGGTGGCTTTGCAAACCTCTGGCAAGAACTTGCAGATTGTACTAACTTCAACTCTGAAGCTGTACTGTAGACTTGCATAGGAATTACCTGTGGCTTAGACGCAAAGAGTGTTTGCCAACTTCAGTTCCATCTCCAGCGGTTTTCTCATGAACGTGGTCTTCTTCTCAAGACGAGGGGTTAACTTCTCAGGTAATATGCATAGCCTCTTGGATCCTTCTTGTGGAGTTCTGTCAATAACTGATCATAATGTCTGAAGTGATGTCTTCTAGTCAACCATTCCCTCACCCACACTGTCCTTGCTTTCAGTTTTTCTAGTTGGGGTTATGCCTTCTTCTTTGGCCTGTTCTTGCTGTATTTTCTCCTGGACTAAGAAATAATAGTGCTGCACCTGCGAGATATAGACGTATTTTCTTTTCTGCGATAAGAGATTGTTCTCTAGTGTTCAACATCTTGTAGGTCCACAGCATGTCGAGTGGTGATGCTTGCTATTTATATAGCGTGGCGTCAAGAGGGACCAAATAATACCACGACTGCTTCACGAATGCGCGAAGTGGTTATGGCAATGCATGCCCATGCTGAAACTATGCGCGTCGTGCATACCATGCCGTGCACAAGACGTAAACAATGCGCGTCGTGCGAACCATGCCGTACACTAGACGTAAACAATGCGCGTCGTGCGTACCATGCCGTACACTAGACGTAAACAATGCGCCAACAATTACGTCGAGCGATAGAGTGCGAGTGCGTGACAATGGGCACCATTTTCGGTCACGCATTGCGTACCAAGTGCGTAACTTATGCATAAACAGTGTGCAAACAGTGCAGTGCAGAGGCAAACTTTGTACAAATGTCAAGGCGGCATAACGCTATATGAATATATATAATTTTGATTGTAA